TCATATTTACATCGTCCAAGTTGAATTAAACATTGCTCAGTTCCCAATGGGGCGTATTTCCACAATCCTTCAGTGTAAATTACTTAGAGTGCTCCTTGGAAACTTCCGGAAAACCTCCGTGCTTATTTGGACTTTTAGACCATGTTTACTCTTGAACTACCATTACCAGGTTCCAAAAGCTCGTCAAATCTTAAAATAATTTTTAACCTATAATTACACACTGGGGGGGGAGAACTGCAGGTTCCAGGGGAGGCTGTAATTACATTTCTGTGGTTTTAAAAACTAACCGTAATTTGAGGCCATTTTCATTCTAATAGCATTCAGGAACCAAGAGCTCTTTGTATAACCCCCCAGGTACATAACGCGGGGGGAGGGGGGGCTAATGGGTTAGCCAATAGCGTGAAAGCAGCCAAGCTGCTGACCTTCTGAGTCCTCTGTAGCTGTGACCCGTGAGCTGCCTAACAGAGTTTCCCTCGCTCCTTCTGGGGTGGGGGGCAGAGAAAAGGCCGCATTGCAATGTCGCCCCACAAGACAGCGATGGGCATAAATAGATAAGTGTGGGGAGAGACACCGGCGGGTCGGTCCAAACTGGCACTGGAGGGTCGTCCCGATGCCATAGATCTCCAGACACAGGACTTAGAACCAAGGTGCCTGGCCCCCTACGGATGCTGTTTTATTTGAAGTTTAAAGGTCGTTCAGCCCCCGTATGGCGTGGAGGTCAGGGAGGTCACAGAGTTCACCGCCACAAGTTAACCCCAAATAAAGATGGCTACCACTCAGCGTCCCCCTGCTACCATATGCTGTGGGGACGGGAACCTGTCCCAGATGTTCCCCGTCTCCATAGCGAGAGTGTAGCCATGGAAACCGAGCTGAGGCATCCTGGGGGGAGAGCGCCCCCCCAGGGGAAACCAACATCTGCTTGTTTTCTTGTTTTCCTAACATGGCTCACACAGCCACCTCGTCTGGCATGGGTCGCGCTCCGCTCCTCTCGCCGCACGCTAACCACACCCTATTAAAAATAACTGTCCCAGTTAGGCCTCATGCATTATGCAGTCAGAAAGGTATGTCCTTAAAAACAGGCTAAAATTGGCAATGATTTTGGCTTTTGGGACAGTTTATTTGGAATGGATATACACAGTGTGTTCAAAACCTTCAAGACACCTTCCTAATATTGCCACAGTTTATTGGGTAACAGAGTGAACAGGGTGCAGGCAGCGGCCCACCGGGGTGCCCGACCGTACCAGCCCCCAGCCCCCTGTCCCCTGCCCCCTGCCCCCAGCCCCCAGCCCCCTGACCCCAGGCCCCAACCCCCAGGCCCTGTGCTGATTCTGCCGAGGTTTTCTGTGTAGCAGGTCTTTGCAGAAGCACATAGGAGACCGATGAGCATGAAAATCAGCGCTGCCTTCACAGACACACTCAGCCCAGTGCACCAGACTTCTGCTCTCACACCTGTTCAAAGGCTCTTTAGTCTTTCCCTCATAAGTACAATCTATTTACCTCAGTTCTCTCATGCCTTGAAAATCCTTCTTTAATTTGCCTCCTTCCCTTGATCTAGACTGATTGAAATCGATTCAATAGGTGAAATCAATTTGGGATACAACCACTCCTCTGACTGACCGTGTGCAAATACGACGGTCATAAAAAAATTCATTTTCAGACAAAATTTCCTGCGATAACAATGCATGCCAGAGTGAGAGAGATCTCTGAAGTGGAATGTACACAATGTTGTTAAAAACATCAGCTTGGCTCACAGATCCCAAGCTGCTTGGACTAATCAAAGAGCAGAAGGCGGAACATTACCTGATGTAGCAAATGCGTTTTCCCAAACTCTTGAAATGGCATTTCCATGAGAATCCTGTGACTGCGGTAAAACTAAATGTATACTGACTAGTCTCTTCTGGCTGTAATACCTTTCATCACAGGCAACTGATGTTCACCAGCCCTTTCACTGCGCGTGCGGAATCATGTTGATATCTATGAAAAGAGGCTAATCTCTGCTGTAACGGCATTTTGAGTTAATAGCCCCTTCTGCACCCCCTCTGCTTTTTCAGATTAGGGCAAATTTTAATATGCATTTGAATGTTCATTAGCTGTCTCTGGCTACAGCCACTGAGGGCGAATGGACACAGAGCAATTATTAACCAGGATGTATAGATTCTCCCCCACAGTCCATGGCTTAAACCACATTTCACTGGACATTTCTGTCTCATTGAGCTTTATGGTCATTAGTCTATTATTTGGACCCTTTCCACTCTGAATGGTGTGATTATAAATGAGCATGGATATCGCTCTCTTAACATCTCAACAGCTTTGTTGTCTTCTCTGGGCATGTACCCACACTGTGTGTGTGTGTGTGTGTGTGTGAGGGTCATGTGTACATTACACTGTGAGGACCAAATGTCCCCACAATGTGATAAGAGCCAACCATTTTGACATTGTGGGGACCACCTTTTCAGTCCCCACAAGGGGAAACTCAGTTTATAGAAATAGGATAGAATATAGAATAAAAATACATAATAGAAATCTGCATTTAAAAAACTAAAAATGTATTTTGTTTGGTTACTTATGGGATTACGGTTCTTCCCCATATAAATGAAAGGAAGGTCCCCACAAAGATATGAATACAAACATGTGTGTGTGTGTGCGTGATGAATAAAGGAATATTGAATAAGTTTTGAAGAGTGGCAAGTTTATTTAATACTAAATAATAAAAAGGGAATATGACTAAAGACTAATTAAGAAAACCCTACAGCACGTTCTGAAATTCAGACAATGACAGACTGAAGGCCTTCATTTCCACTGCCAGCCTTGATGTCTTTGCTGAGAGCCATGTGCTGTTCATCACCGTTATTGTATTTCAGAATTCTTCATATTTCACCATCATAATTCTCTGTCCCGCTGTCCTGTCGCCATCCATTCTTACATGATTGGTTGCCTGTTGCACACGGCACACTTTCCGTGCACGCTCTCAGGAGGTCGCCTGGGATGGGACTCGTTTGCTGAGCGAGGAGTGACTGCAGTAGCTTTCCGCTGGATTCACCCGCTGCCTTGAATGTCTCGAGCACTCAGCGCATGTGGTCTAAATTTAGGCAAAAGACGTGACCTCACTGAGATGACAGTGCAGCCCATACTGTAGATGTATCATAACAAACACCCACAAACCTACCTCCATGTTGAGTGTGTTAATTGCACTCTGGCTGTTTGTGCTGTTGACAAATTTTCCAAGGGAGACCATTCTTATTTGTTCTTCATGAAGTGGGTGAGGGGGTTTGTCCCACACAGTCTCTATGTTGTTTAACTACATTCTGCGTCTCTCAAGCGGTCGGCAGCTTTGTTGTGCAATGAGGGTCACTGTACCTGAGGCATACTTACATCAGGGACTTCAAATTAAAGGACATTTGTTTTTAAATTCCCTCCATACTTTTGTAAACATACCAAGATTCGTGCAGATGGAACAATGGTTGTGCAAACCATGCAGAATGAAGTTACAGCTACAAGCTGTGTTTCATTCAAATATGAAACAGCTCTTTAGAGCGGAATAACTTTCATGCAGTTTATATAACATATACCAGACCCCTGTGTGCTGCATATTCATGTACTTATGTATGGTCTGTGCATTTTATGTTTCTTGACGTGCATTTCTGAAATTTAATTCTGATTCCTAGTGATTCCTGGTTATAGTTCTTTTCATTCTGATATTATACGAGTTCGCCAACAGGGTCCCGTAGGTGGCGCTCCGTCATACATTGATCAGGGTCTCAGGGAGAGTTCAGGCTGGAAGGTCACGGGCCTCCGCGGATGTGAGTGGTCCAGACCACCCCACCGAATGGGTCCCACCCTACAGCTGAGACCGACAGGCCAAAGACAAGACATTAGTCTAAACTCGCAGAGGGGAAGCAGGCTTGGCATTCCGACCTGAGTACCCAGGCCCTGGGCTTGGGCGATGCATTATAACAGCGCCGTGGTCCGACCACAAAACGTCAGCACGCCACCACTTATCAAAACAACCCTATATGGGAAATGCAGCCACTCAGTCAGGCTCAGTCCCGCAAGTAAATAACAATTATGTCTTGCTGCAGACTGTTATGCTCTCAGCACAAAGGCTATGGGGAAGCGTCCTGAATGAAAAACAGGCTGCTGCACGAGCACCTCCCAGACACTCAACAGCTAGCGAAGCGGCGTGAGCCGGCTTTCCACGGTTCGAGCCGGTGATCCGCAGCTGGTGACAGAGGACAGAGGCCTTGCGGCCACCACACTTAATGCATGACAGCAAAGGGGGGGGGAGGTCCTTAAGAAAAACATAGCAGAAAGAACCTTCAGGGGTCCAGGGGCAGGAAGGAAAGAAACAGGTCAGACTGACGGCGTAGATGCCACGGTTAAACCGGCCCGAGTCATTTTCAGACTGGTTATATTTTATAGAAACTAAACTATTAAAATTAAGATGGACTTCATTGCTTTTTGAGGGAAATTCTGGATATTGCAGCATAACTAAATTTGCTAAATGAAATTTGACCATCACAGCAAACTGAATATGGATACATCTTCATGAATGTATTTTATTTATATATTTTTATAAATCGAAGATGAGATGAAATGAAATGAAATGAAATGAAGTGAAGTGAAGTGAAGTGAGTGAATGAATGAATGAATATTATTTTCAAGCCCAGCCAGTAGGGTTGGGATAAATTATTTTTAATCTTTCTGGTAATTAAACAGGCAAATGAGTAACCAATGAAAGCTTCTGACGCATCCAGAGTCGGGAAATGGTAAATAGTTTCACACATTACTCTTTCTTGTGAGTAAGTCAATAGACATGAATTCTTGACATTTTGCATAGTCTTCATGTTGGTCACGCCCTGCCAGCCTGGGAGATTTGCCTGTGCTTTTAGCATAAATGCTAACAGCTACGGGTGGAAATGATTGTGTACTATGAAGCTGAACAGGCGATTGAGAAGGAAATCCTGTCTGGCGCGCCAACACCACAACTGCTAGACTTTCTGCAAAGCCATTTCCATTTTATTTCCTCCGATTGTCAGAGAATAAAGGGACATGTCATTCAGGCAGTTTGCTGAGGTTTACGGAGAGGCAGACTGGGTGAGGCTTCTCTTAGAAACACAACCCTACACTAACACCTTGGGAACTATTTTTTCCCCCAAAAAGTCAGGAAAAACACACATCACTCAATCATGCCTCGGAGGGGAGGAGAGGGCAGCTCTGTAGTCAAACTGCTTATTTATTGTGTTCTGTTTCAGTAATTCTGAGTACTGCTTACCGAAGAAACGGATATGACTTCCCAGTAATGCTTTTTCATTGAACCGAAAGTTCCAATAACCAGGCTAAATTAAAATCATAAAATAAAAAAGAAATATATGCATTGCAGACATTAATGACAGTGGTTACTAATTTCAAAAGGTGTAGGATTACAAATAAACTTGTACAAAAGGGTAACAAGAAGGGTAACAAGGTCACAGCCCTGTAGACACCCAGCTCCCAGCATGCAAACCAGTAACCCAGTATCAGCTGTTTTTCAATAGGGTGGTTGTTAACTGGAAAAGTCCTTGGTTGTGGTGGGTGGACGGGGAAGGTGAGGTGGTGCAGTGGGTGTCACAGAAATGACTTTCAGCCTTTTAGAAGTTTTCAAATTCACAGTCAAAGTCAGTCATCTGGCACAGGATGTACTTCCACTGGCGATCCCTACAACAGAGAAACGGGAGACGTTTGAGATCGAGAAGGGAATCGACTAGGGATCTGGCCAACTTGGACCGGACGGGGAAGGGCGCTGGGAAGCAGACTACAGAGACTACTCAGATCAAACTGCTGTGTGATGCACTAGTGATGTAATGTCTCACTAATCAGGACACGTGCAAGGCTGTGCCCTCTGAGGTCCCGGCATCTAGCATACTGTCTTTTTTAGAAGCCAGTCGGGGGTAGAAATAAATAGGATTTTAAAAAAGCTCCTTTCTAACGCAATTAACAGGTGACGTGGAAGGGACATGAACGGAAGGCCTCGGTGTAGAATGGGGCAGAAAGACGATGCTTCAGCATTTATGACACTAAAGAAAGTTTTTCAGTGAAACTGGAATAGCACTGGGCGGGGATTCCCCCTCAGTTAGTCTGCACCACTGCATTTAGCCCGTCTCCTGATTTACAGTGGGGTCTAATCATAGTAGATTTATTTATTCATTCATTCGTTTGTTGGTTTTTAAATCAATTTCATTAGTTGAACAATAGTTCTGTTTATAATAATAATGGTATTTATAATTATTGACACAACTCTCTAACCCCTCCCTTATGTGAATATGTGATTTAAATTATGTAAATATGATTCTGACTTAGTCACTGCTTTTTGATAGCTGTCTGATCTCTGTGTGAAAGTGTGTGCATGTGTGTTTATGAACACAGTAGATTTAGACTCTGGTGTCTGGTGTGGACCTGACCTGAGCACAGCACTGAAGGTGGTCTGGGCCCCTCGAATGAAGTATCCATAGCCTGGAATGACCATCTCAGCCTCTTCCCTGTAATATTCCGGAACATCGTTGGTCTTCCTGTTAGGGAGAGGAGCACCAAGCTGATTGCTGTTCTGACATGTCAGCTGACATTTCCGCACCACCCCCATGGGCTGGAGCTAGCTGCTCGAGGGGCGGGGCCAGAGTAGCCCGGGGAGGCGTGGCCTTGGTGGAGGGGGCGGGGACATACCAGCAGGAGTATGGGCACCTGCGGCTGTAGCGGCAGCAGTAAAACTGCCACTCGCGGTCCAGCACGGCACTGAAGTACTGGCTCTGAACCCCGGCCACCAGCCCGTTGTTGGAGCACATGGAGGTCCTGCAAGGAAAAGGGCCCGGTGTCACCACAGTCATGGTGTTTATTGGTATTTATAACGCGGTTCTTGTCTAGGGTGAGGGACAAGGCACCGATCTGGTGTGTGCTGGCAACTGCAGAGACAGAAAAGCTGTAATGGAGAAAGATGCGTCTTTGAACCTTTGAATGCAGGACACACAGCAGCTGTCCGCTTAACGGCTGCAGGACACACAACAGCTGTCCACTTAACGGCTGCTAATGCAGTCGTGCAACACGACACAGAAGTAATGAAAAAACAAAAGCACTAGGGTCTATTTCATTCCTTCCTATGAAGGCATTCTTCTTCATTCTTCATTTTTATTCACTGTGGAAAATGACTGTAACTCATTGCAACATGACAACCTGCTAGTAAAAGTCAAACTCAACAGTGAATAAAATTTGTTGATAACGGATCCTGCTGGATTCCAGCTGCCGCAATTCCAGGGCAGTGATTACTCTGATTGCCATCGGTAACAGGAGCCAGTTAAAACCAGCCTGGATTGCTTGTGCCTGTTAACCCACAGAACTCAAACTCTTGCAAACACAACGTAAATGTTTTACAATAAGACACCTTTGTTGACGGTGCAGGCTGTTGTTATCACAACAAGCTGACATCAGCAGCAGTTAATGTCTCAATTCGCTTTGCCACGGCAACCGTGTCCCCATAACATGCTGTTAGGGAACCTGAAATTGCACTGGCATTTTCTAATGCTAACTTAGGAGCTAATCGGGATGACCTCTGGAACAATGTAACATTTTCTTTAGATGAGTTTCATCGACCTGAGCTGTTCCTCTCCCCAGCATAAACACGAGGAGATTCCTTAAATTTTTCTAAAGGTTTCCATCTTTAGAACGAGTTGTTCTTTTTACCTGATTAAAATTTCACTTATTTCCTGAAAAATTCTCCCTCCTGGCACTTGAACCTTCAGCTTGTGGGTTTCCTCGCTGAGTGAGTGTGTGCTGCGTGCATTGCACAAATGGTGACCATGGTGTCCTCTTACACTGCAAGGTCAGCGACTGTCCCGCACACCTGAGTTGAAAGCATAACCCAGAAAGAGGAGTTATACCTTTCAACACCTGCTAATTCCTGCCTCGGCCTCCTCCTCACCTCGCTCCTCCATTTTTCTCCTTGACTGTGACCTTCTTTCTGATGTGAAACCAGAGGACATCTTTTGGGGGGGGCGGAGGTTACTTTTTAACCGGGGGAATAGAATACTGAAGTCCATAGGCGGAGACATTAGCTGCCCCCCACCCCCGAGGCATTCGCAAAAGCAACATTTGAGGAAAATGGGTGCTGCGGGGTGGGGGTGGGGGGGTAGGCAGGTGGACATAGCAAATGGGAAAACTTCCCAAGGGAAGTTCATTATGGGCAGATTTTCACATGGATAACAGAGATCTATGCAGTTCTGCTTTAGCCTTCTGGAAAATCTCAGGCTGCGGGGGAAGCCTGACATGACACCCCCATGTCGTACAGGCAGCCTGACACCCCCATGTCGTACAGGCCACTGAGACGACCTACATAAAGGCAGAGAGAAACACTGAGGGCCTCTTTATTAAATCTGCCCTATGCTAAGTACTATGGTAGCTTGAACACATTGCCTTGCACATATCTTCAAGGTGACAAGGTTCGTGGCCATTTCAGTTAAAATTATACCCCAGAAGTAGTGCTTTGATGTCATTCTGTAGCTGTTGGTGTCCTCAAGTTGCAAACATCTTTGCTGACCCCTCAGGATAGTATCAACGTTCACTGACGTCATCTTAAGGAAAAACACGATTGGATCAAGGTCAAATGAAGGGCACCGGTGTGTGTCATATTTCATTACGGTCAATATCATCAGCCAGTGGGCTGACAAATGTCCATGACACATAAAACAAGGCCTGTTGTTCCCGGTGACCATGAAGGAAAAGGTTCTATGAAGGTCAAAGTTCGCAGCCAGAGGGGTCTCGGAGCCCGGAGGGCCAAAATTAAACCTTAAAATGCTTCAGCAAGCACAGGAAAGAAGGCTGGACATGTGCTGGGCCAGGCTGCCAAGACAAACAGGGACATTTTGGCAGGAAACTTATTCCATCTGTCAGGGCAGACATGAGGCAGCCAAGATAGAGGGCTTCACTTTGACGGCGAGCAGAAAGCGAGGGAAGGTCTTCTAGGTTCGTAACGGAGGGCGCCCCACCGAACAGATCGGCACACCAGCAGACTTAGTGTGTAACTAAGAACAGCTTCTTTTACCTCAAGACAAGTCACTAACAGCAACAAATTAAGCTGTACTGCCCATTACATCATATGACAACCATTAAGTGTGACATCACCAGAGACCAAATCAGGCAGACTTGGGATTCTCAGTTCCGGATCTCTTGCATAATCTCTCTTCAGCTTGTTACTTATCTCTTCCCTCTTCAGCGTCTCCCCAGGCTTTTGAGGAACGATTGTTTGAGGAGGAGATAATCTCACACATTAAGGCTTGATGAACATCTAAGCTAATTATTTTGGCTTTTTAAAAAGGACACAGAAGGCTGAGGTCTTGCCGTTGGATGCCCTCTCGCACGCAGGGTCCACATGGAAATCTGTAGGAAACTTAGGTCTGAAAATAGCGTCAACTTTGAAAAGACAGTGTGATCCTTCACTATTAACCCCTTAATGGCTGCTTCATTCAGTTACAGGGCAAAACTGTCATTGAGCCGACAGGACAGATTAAATTTGGAAAGATACAAGGCTGTTCTCAGACTGTTTACAGTATGCAAATCCTCATATGCTGTAGGCTGCACCCGTGCTCCGAGGTGGCGATTCCCTTATTCCCAAAGAGTCCTAAAGTCTGTACACTCGGAGTTAGCCATCAGCAGGCAGCAGATTAAAACGGCATTGAAGTGTCACAGCACTGGTGCTGATCGTATTAACAGTCAGGTGGTTCCTGAATATTTTATGACATCACTGCGCCGGACCACTGTGGATGGTCTGTTTAATTAGCTCCGGCGAATAGTGTCACTCAGATACATAAACAGGAGGCATGACTGCAGCTGGACTCCCAGCATGCTCTGTGTCCTGTTAATCGTTCTTTCACCCCCGTCGGCAATTTACCGTTTCCATTTTGAACTGCCACCACTCTAGCATACTAATACGGGTGGTGGGGGGGGGGGTGTCTTAATGAAAAGATGCCTCATTCTAACAGTTGTTAGGGCAACAGGAAAATACAAAACCGAACCACTGACTCAGAGTGTGACCTCCATTGAGGGATAATGATGTCCTTAATGGTTTTTTTGGGAAGTCCCTGGAGTGAAGGCTGCGATGTAGTGCCGGTGGTTTGGGGATAGCTATCCAGGGCTGGGTTTGCGCGAGCAGAGGTGTGTAGATGTAGATGGGAGTGGAGATGCCATCAGTGGGCCGTCCTCTTAATGGCAGCACAGCGGTGAAGCGGACAGACGGATTACAGGCCACTTGGATGCTTTTTCCGGGTTATTAAACTGACTCCGGCCTTCCACACTCATGTCGGTGCTCTGTACGCACGTCCCCTCTTCCGGAGAAACATCGCAGGCGCCTGCTGATGGAATGTAACAGCAGAGAACCTAAACAGCGGCCCACAGATGGATGAAGCCGCTCGTTACCTTTTTCCAAATGGCGGCTTTCTCCAGTTCACCAGCTTGACACATAAAGCGAAGCAGGAAATGCACGAAAATCATTTCGGTTATATAAATTCCACTGGCGTGTGCAGGCGGCGTTTGCAGGCGGCGTTTGAAGGCGGCGTTTGCAGACGGCGTGTGCAGGCGGCGTTTGCAGGCGGCGTTTGCAGGCGGCGTGTGCAGGCGGCGTGTGCAGGCGGCGTTTGAAGGCGGCGTGTGCAGGCGGCGTTTGCAGGCGGCGTGTGCAGGCGGCGTGTGCAGGCGGCGTGTGCAGGCGGCGTTTGCAGGCGGCGTGTGCAGGCNTGCAGGCGGCGTGTGCAGGCGGCGTGTGCAGGCGGCGTTTGCAGGCGGCGTGTGCAGGCGGCGTTTGCAGGCGGCGTGTGCAGATGGCATGTGCAGGCGGCGTTTGCAGGCGGCGTTTGCAGGTGGCGCAGCATATCTAACTATGTTTATCAGTCATATCGTCCCACTCCCACGAAAAAAAGGGACGCGGTTTTATAACCGCGCATTCAGAACCGATGTAGCGTTGCTGACCTGTAGGACCAATCAGAAGGTGACTTACAGGAAAGCAGGCGGCCATGGGAGCCACTCAACCTTCCTGTAGCCTCAAGTAAAAAAAAGACAAAGCCAGACAGAGGTCTCAGTTAGCTGCAGGCCTCCAGCTGACCAAGGCAGGCCTCTCCCACTGGGGACGAGCAGCTAATGAGCTGGGATGTTTCTCTAAATATTAGAGGAACCCAGGCTGCACTGACAGGGGACACAGGTCATGGTTTGGGTCTGGAAATTTCCCTCCATAAGGTCCCTGTTAGAGGACAGGGTGCAAACACAGGTTGTCAATAAGCATCGAAGCTAACAGCACTAGCCTCCTGGGTACCATGTTAAAGGCCGTCACACAGGACCTTCCTGTACCACCTAGTCCATATTGGGGGGGACACTTTGAGCTACTTCAGGTTTTACTAACTACTTTAAAACTGAAAGGCTCCTGTTCTTGGCTAATCAGTTCAGTTCTTCTTGTGCTTTGATTGGTTTGTTTCCCTGACTGAAAGACTCATCCAGCTGTTTCACATTAACATTAGTGACACATGCATGATTATAGGAGACTGACCAATCAGCACACAGCAACAACTTTACAACAAAATTTACAAATCCTGCCTCAGTACAATGTGTCCCCCCTGATCCCTGACATCGATTAGGTGGTAACCCTGATATGCATCATATTCTCCAGGAAACACAGAGATGCCAGATGGTGTAACTTCATGTCTTTGGACAGGAGGTGTGAGGCAACAGAGTTACCAACTAAGCCGTTGTAAAATTAAGAAAACACCGTTGTATGCTGTAGCAGACTTTGTCGATCCACAGCAGTGATAAATCATAAGTGTAATCTGTGGTGCTTTTTGCGGATTTTCTGGTCCAGAATCAGGCCTACAGAGGTGTTTAGGCAAAAATAAGTATGTGGAAAATCGATCCTTTCCTTACAATAGCCGTCCACTGTCGTAATGTCATGGCCTGAAAACACAGGCGGAATAACATCTATCAAAAAGGTTTGTTCTATGTGCAAATGTTGCCAAGAAATACTAATTTTGTGTTACAGCCAACCTAAACCCAGAAATGCATTTCCACAGAACAAAGAGCTGTCTGGCAACCAGATATTGCGAGCAGTTTGGGAAACAAACGGCACAGCTTCTGAGAGAGAGACTGTGGTTTAAATGACATGAGCCCACGCACTCGTCATCACTGTAGCATGTGTAAGATTCTTAGTCCACTCATTTGCATAAAAGCACATTAGTCACGTTAAATCAGGAGTGCATCTGGTCAGAGGCTCCAAGTGTTGAACCATTAAGTTGCACGAGCACAAATTAACAACCAATTATCCTCATTTACTATCTGACAACAGCACACAAATATAACAGATAGATAACTTTGATAGGTTGAACTGTTCACTATAAAACTTGCAGGAGACAACATGCTTTGTCAAAATATCAGGAGCGACTGTAGAATTATTACATGGGAGGTTCTGGTTTTCGTTGCAAATGGATGGAAAAGCCAAAATGAACTCCAGCTGAAGTAAACTAAAGAGAAACTGACAGGTCCGCACATCTTGGTTTAAAAATGAATGAGTATACAGCAAGTTTTAATGAGTACATATTGCAGTGAGTACTCTGCCTGTTTTAATGAGCACACTGCAATGAGTACACGGCAAATTGTAATGAGTACATATTGCAGTGAGTACTCTGCATGTTTTAATGAGCACACTGCAATGAGTACACGGCAAATTGTAATGAGTACATATTGCAGTGAGTACTCTGCATGTTTTAATGAGCACACTGCAATGAGTACACGGCAAATTGTAATGAGTACATATTGCAGTGAGTACTCTGCATGTTTTAATGAGCACACTGCAATGAATACACGGCAAATTTTAATGAGTACATATTGCAGTGAGTACTCTGCAAGTTTTAATGAGCACACTGCAATGNGAGTACATATTGCAGTGAGTACTCTGCAAGTTTTAATGAGCACACTGCAATGAATACACGGCAAATTTTAATGAGTACATATTGCAGTGAGTACTTTGCAAGTTTTAATGAGCACACTGCAATGAGTACACAGCAAATTTTAATGAGTACATATTGCAGTGAGTACTCTGCAAGTTTAATGAGCACACTGCAATGAATACACAGCAAATTTTAATGAGTACATATTGCAGTGAGTACTCTGCAAGTTTAATGAGCACATGTTGCAATTATTACACAGTAAATTTCACAGCCTTTATTGATTTCTAGTCCCCTTCCAAGACCTGAGCTTCATTCTGTGGGATGTGGAAAGTTTAGTCAGTGAGACAGCCCCCTTTCCAGATGGACCGTCCCTGGAGCCCTCAATTATGAACAAACAATGTGAGTGGTGCTATCGGCTACTCACAGCAAGCCTAACCTCACATCTGCCATCAACGAACCCTCACATAAGCCATCCCAAGCCAGCTGCCCTAAATCCATCTGGGCATCCATCATAACCCCCCCCCCACACACACACACACACACAGTACCGTATTGGTTTATACATCCCTTTCATATAGGCGGAACTTGAGGAAGAATCCCCTCAAAGGTCCAGCAGCACTAACCAGTCTGTAGCAATGACCTGCTGATGTTCTTGCCAATGACAGACTGGGTGCGGGGGGAAGTGGCTGCCCTAGGGGCCTTACCATTCCATCCCGGCGCGGTTGATGTCGTCCCACCAGCACTCAGTGGGCTCCCCCAGGCTGGAAGGGGTGGGCTGGCACTCGAAGGTCCACAAGCGGTCGGACCCCTCCGCCTCGCTGAAGTAGCTCCGGATGGCCACAAGCGCTTCACCGTGGGGGCACTGGAAGTTGAAGCCCTGCCGGAACAAGTTGACCCAGGGCTCTTCGTATAGGTAGTTGGGATAACCCCAGGCTGAGGCCAGCAGGGGCACGAACCACAAAGTCAGCTGCATCCTGGGTTCCTGCTTCTCAGCCCACAGCGTCTGGCTCCCTGGAAGAGCCCCGGCCTCGTTATAAACCTCCGCACAGACATTTGACTCCCAGATGTTTTATATCACGATCCAAGACAATATGTAATTTGCTACGACAAAGACCGCTACGCCTGCAAACCGATCGTAATTTTTTTAAGGTGGAACCCTAACGGGCTTCCAAGAACTATAGTGCACATCAGGGAGGGATGCCTTAAAAAATAAGGAGCGCTTGGCCAGGGCTCTCGTTGTTAATGTATTGAGTGCTGTTATGTAAATAGTGGCCTTGCGGCTGGTTTTCCTTTCATTAGCGGTTCTCAGACGTCGGGCTCTTAGCGGACACGCTGGATGGAGCCCAGGTGCCTTCCCTGAGTGTGTGTCACTGCCTCCTCGGGAACAGAAAGGCCGATAAATAGGTGATAATAGACACGGTTTCCACGCTCCTTTCCGATGGCGTCTGGGCTGTGGGGCTGGCAGTCTGAGGCGAACACCGTCAGCCCAGCACACTGCATCACTCACCGTCAGCCCAGCACACTGCATCACTCACCGTCAGCCCAGCACACTGCATCACTCACCGTCAGCCCAGCACACTGCATCACTCACCGCCAGCCCAGCACACTGCATTATTCACCGTCAGCCCAGCACACTGCATCACTCACCAACACTTGAAAGCATTCTTATGTTGCCCATGCACCAAAACGTGTGTAAACTGCAAAACTGCACACAAATTACCATAACATTAAAAACAAGGGGCTTATCTACATGCCACTCAGGCCAATGCCCTGACAGAGCCAGTGTAAGGTAATACACTGCTTTAAAATTAAGGCTGTGTGTAAATGAACACTGGAATACACACTGACATCAAGGGAACGGGTCTGAAGCTTTTGTTTGAGGGTTTTGGGGACAGAGAGCAGTGCAGTGTGTGTCAGTGTGAAGCATTTCGAACAGGGTGTGTACACCAGGGGAACAAGCTGATTGAGCACTTAAAGCACCTCATATTTTAATTTCCATTAATTAACTACAATTAATGAAGGATGATAGATGGAGGGGATGGATGAATCGGACATAGTGTTTTTCATTAGCGTTATTAAATGAGGCACTGGTGATTGATTAAGCCAAATTCCATAACAGTATTTCCAAACTTCCCAGGAAGTGTTTACTTAACGACAATAAAACAGATCCCTGCAGGACCTCGATTTATAAGTTCTTCCAAACAAACTTCAGTGTTTCCACAGTTTTTATTTTTTTCTCCCCTCCTCTATTTTAGAAACAGATTGTTCTTGCAAAATGAAGCTGGATACAGAGGCCTTGGACGCCGAGGGAGATCGGGGGGAGTGTGTGCCCAGAAACCTCACAGCCTCAGCTGAGTCACCGAAGTTTCCATTATAAAACTCTTTGGCACTATAAGGAGGTTCCACTAGGGGGCGCAGCTATGAACCACCTCTAATTTGACCAAGCTAGCGAGATGGCAAAATTAATTTTTCTTGTGAAAACTGTCAGTGTTAATGCTACCACTAGCATTGCAGGTAATAAACTACCTGCCCTGACACGATGCATTTCTGAGCTGATAGTTTAGATTACGGTGTGCTTTGTGAGGCAGTTAAATGCGGTAAATGGAACAGTAATTGCACAAAGAGATTTTTCACAAATCCTGAGACCTGTACTACGAAGATGGGTTACTGGCTTATCGGGGTAACTTGTCGGATTTAAGGTACCACAGTTTAAATGGACTTCATATTCGTTCACTTACATTTTGCCCAGACTACCTTAAATCCAACAAGTTACCCTGATAAGCCAGTAACCCCACTTCGTAGTACAGGCCTCAGGTTTTGTGCAAAATCTCTTTACAAAAACCTCACTGAAACTGAAATAAAGCTTTCAAGCTCCATCCCTTTGTTCAAATATTAATAGATCTTATCAATGATTAAATGGTTAGCATAGTAAACTTTGGACTGAAACCTGGGCCTATGAATATTAGTTGCAGTTTTTTTTTTTGTATTGAGGCAGCAAAGGTCATGACAGAACAAGATCAAGGGTCTGTAGCGTATCTGTAAGGCAACGAGGCTTCGGTAGCTGTGAGGCGGAGACCGGCACTGAGGCGCAGAAGCCATAAAATCGGACAGCAAAAAAAAGTCAGTGACAAAGACTCAGGTGCCTTTTTGGGCCAAACTCATACTGGAGCGCCAGAACCGGCCCGCTTTTGCTGGCCATGTCAGCGGCTACACCTGCAACCAATCGGCACCCAGCAGCCGCAGAGGGAATGAATCCCTCGGCACGTAACCACGGCAGCCGCAGCTGCTTGCTTCATTTGCTGTTCTTTCCATGATGGCGAGGGCTGGCAGAGGTCGGGTGGGGCGGAGCTGGGGCGGGCGGAGCTCTGGCTGGCGGAGGTCGGGCTGGCAGAGGTCGGGTGGGGCGGAGCTTGGGCGGGGCAGCCCCCGTTACACTCGGCTCCTTTCCGTGTCTCGTTCCATCCTCAGCATCCCTCCAGGAGCTGTGGAAGAGCAAAGAGCTGTGGCTCAGTCCTCAGAGCTGCAACATGTAAAGAAAACAAACACAGCTCAGATACAAAGGCTTGGTGACAGAGAATAAAATAAAGCTAGAGAACTGTCGGCATGCCATTTTTCTGCACTGTGAATCTGGGGATGTTGATGGATGTTTTTTTGATGATTTTACTCCATAAAGATGGTCTAGGTAACCTCTAATGGCCAGGTGGTAAATCACACACATTTCTTTCTGGGACACGGCTGCTTGAAGCACCTCCTAAGGACCTGCTGTTATCAGCATCTCTCCTCCGCTTCTTCAAAAGATCACTTCTTCATTCCGCCCCTTGCAGCCCAAACATGACCCGAAGTGACGAAATCGAGCTTCCTGGAAAAAAACACACACAGGAGTGAAAAGCATAAAGCTGTTTTCCCGTCAAGCTGCTGCCTGGAGCTGAGAAAAACACACAATTATTTTCTGTGTCTTAATCTGTTACAGTGGCTTTGATCTCACTGGAGAGCCGCCACACTTGAAAAAACCTCAAAATAAATAACAGCACTCCTCCCAAAATAGCACACGAGTCCCTGCTCCGACCGTATCGCCCAGAAAAACAGAAATCCAGCACCAGAGCCTGTATTTTTAACGAAATCAGTGAGATTGAAATATATTTTGGAGAGAAATTATGACCGGAAATTTCCATATCCACGGAAACGCTACTAAACCATTTGGATGGTGACAGCCATTCGGTCCAGTGAGGTGAAAGAATTCGACCCTTTTGTACAGTTTTCCAAAAGGGGTTTTCAACTAACTCTTGGCAAACTTACTGAACCTGGATTCAGGTCAGATGTGTTTTTTTTTGTTGTTGTTAAAAAAACTCCAGATAAAGGGTAGCATTGGCGTGCGTCAAACTTATTTGGAAGGCGAGAGTGATTCTGACGTAGGTGAGCCATCAAGCCGGTCCAAAACTCCTCTGGGACGTTGCATGCGGTTCAGATTATAAGCGGCTGGACCCAGTGCTAGCTTCAGGACTGGTTTGGCGGCAGCCTGGTTCTGCTCTGCCAGTTCGGCTGTACCAAAATCACCCTGGATGTGGAGGCCAGGCTGGGCCTGTGTTCCTCGAGCGGCTGCTGGAAACTCGGCTGTTTCCTGCCTCGTGAATCTTTCGTGAGGCTGCTGTTCATTTTTTGCTTTTTGTTTTGTCATAATGAAATAATCATGCCCTTGCTTAGTGAGTTGGGGATCAGTGCCTATATCTGGGAGGTTGTGGGTTCGAATTCCATGGCTGGTAATCTTGTCACACTCCACAGGTGCTGGCTGACGATGTGCACAGGTCCCAAAAGTTACTCTCAGCCACATGCACATGTGCGTCTCTCTGATGGGATGTGTGAGAACCAGCCGATGTTGCCATGGTGAAGAGGGCAGCACCACTACCAATGAGTTTGGGGGCATTTTTAGGTTGTGATCAGCCTTATTTTTGGGGGCAGGGGTTGTGCTTTTGCTAGAAACAGAGTGATCTACTCCTTTCATTTATGTTCTGTTAAGTTAACAAATTTAAAAAACAATCAGGTCCCACCGTAGTCTGCTCCTCCTGTTACAAGCAGTGCAAAGGCGCCCAGGTTGCTCTGGCTTTGTTCCTCATAAAGCTGCTATGAACCTGTGCAGCCTGTATTTTGGGGGGTGGGGGGTCTGCACCTGGTCCACACCGAGACAGGGAGTCAAACGGGGTCCCTGAGAATGACGCAGCTGTCAGGCCATTTCCTCTTTGGCGTGTCACAGGTGCCATATGACGGACTTGATAAATGACATCAGATCAGGCGGGAACAAGATCAGCATACAGGGCCCAGTCTTATCAGGACCCCCCCCTCCCCCTCCCCCCCCACCCCCCCCCCCCCCACCTCCCATGCCCAGCAAGTCACGACAAAGGTTTATTTAGGTCCTTGCAACAGGCCAACATTTGTAAACTACGCATAGCTTCCACATTCACTAAGTGTTACGCATTTCTTTGCCAAAAACGATGCCTTCATTAAATAAAATGAAATACAAAGGAATTATGATACTTTATTGGTCCCCACAGCAAAACTGTGCTTTGGCCAAGACTCAGACATAAAAAGGTCGGAGCAGACTGTGGGGTCACAGCACAGGGTGAGCCGGTGTGTGGTGTGATCGGGGCTCAGGGCCTCCTCAGGAGCCCAATGCTGGCCTCAGTCTGGCGACCTTCTGGTCTGTAAGGTGATTAGGATGAGATCCGTCCCATTTTCTATATAATGAAAAAATGAATGCAAATTCCCATCTACAGACAGTCAGAAGTATAGGAATGAATTTCCTTTCACATTCGCAATTACGTGAATCAACTATTCATTAAGTGATTTCATGTTCCGATAATGACAGGGTTGTTTACTCATAATTTTCCTCTAAGTAAATGTGACACCTCATAGTCCGCAGAAAGTGAGTACATGTATGCCCTCAATAATTCACAAATCAAGGAATTAGTGCAGCACGCCAATGGCCGAGGTAACAATGAGGTGCCATCTTCTCGATGTCCGGATGACTGGCCCCTCAGGTCCAACCCGGGCAGGTTAACAATGAAACGCTCCTGCTCCACACAAGGATCATATTTTATTTACGGCTGCCGTCATCTACGCGCTCGGCTGTAAACCGCCTCTCCGCCGTGTCCTCGGGCTACTCCGTGCCCCTCTGAGTTCCAGTGGCCACATACAGGAAGCCTGCAAATAACCGGAATGCCCAGCCTCAGACACACGCGTCCTCAGGTAACCCCGCAGTGACGGCACGGCAGCATCTGGACACCAGAATATTTCCGAAGACCTGGAGCTCATTAATTACCCACCTCATCAGGGGTCAATCGAGAGGGCGACTATCACCTTGGAGCATATTAACCGGGCCTCTAACCGGGCCTCTAACCGGGCCTCACGAGCGCCAGCGGCACCGCATGGCGGTAAGACAGCGCCAGGTCAGTCTCACATGCTCCAGGAGGTCTTCGGAAACCCGTGAAATTACATCCCAGAGACGGGTGGGATCTCAATCGGACACACCTGTGCGCCAAATTTAGGTCGAATACATCATGACACAACAACAGTCCTTCCTTCGTCATCTGTCTGCTTCCTCGTCCTCCTCGTTAACCTCATTAAGATGACGGCAATCCAGAATCCGGGAGGGGCGGGGTATGGCCGCGCTTCGCTGGCCTGCTGGAGGGAACCCGGAGAGTGGAGAACACACACACACATGCCGGCAGGTCCCCAAAGGGCACACACAAACTGCTCACTGCAGGTCCCCAAAGGGCACGCACTCACTGCTCACTGCAACACAGTGCACCATGCTTTGTGCAATAATATTTGTAAAATAACAGTTTATTAATCATTCATCAAGGAATAATCTAAAATTCATACATTAGTTTGACATAGGTGGATGAACAATTAGCTCATTTATTATTTAAAATTTAATTCTTTTTTTTTTTTGTAAACTCCAGTTTTGCTTACCTACTTAAACTCAGTGTAAGTAACCTGAAATGTATGTGATGCTCGTGTCACCTTTGGGGAGAAGCCAGAACTGCTGCTGCAGTCAAACCCATCTCCATTCTGGCACCCAAAAAAGTCCCTGTTCCTTCCTGCAGTGGCTCAAGAAGCCAAAAGCTGGAAGCTGCTGAAACAGGAAAAGCCAGAAGCTTCCGGAGTTTAATGAGGACTGGTGGGCTGCTTGGGTAACTGGCACCAGCAGCTGTTTTTCCATTACATGGCCATCGTTAGAACTGCATTGTTTCTATTATGCTGGAAGAAAGCGAAAAAAAACACGTGCTTTAAATTCAAAGTACTTCTACATATAAACAGGATGAGGAAAGAAAGTGGATCGATGCTGGATCTGCTTAATCTGAATCAAGATCCATTTCTCTGCAATGTTCTGACCTCACTGACCTCCACCCTGAATACTTTCAGAGAAAATCTCGGTTGTAGAATATTTCACGTTAAAGAACCATTAGTCCTTGAGTCACACTACAAATTAAATATGTTCCTGAAGACGCAAGAACAGAAGTTGATGTCAGACATTTCTCTCCGACCTCGTTGACCCACACTTGGTGAGGTATTCAGTACGTCAGACACATTCTTCATGCCTGCGAGGCCTGTGCTGAGCGTCCCCGATCCGGATGGCCTTCCGAGCTGAGCGTCCCCGATCCGGACGGCCTTCCGA